AGCCATATCTTGTATCCAACCAGGTACAGTGGGGATCACGCGGTCCCCATTCAGTAATGCGAGTAGCACCGACGGCATCCAAGCGCTTCGGGATCTCCTTCATACTCCTCCGCCAAGTCAAGGGTTGGCCACCTCTCTCTTTACACCACTCTAAACTGGGCATGGAAAACAGCGCTCACTCTCTTCGGCAAACGATGGTTCGGCATGCGTAAAACATGTCCCAACCAACGCAACTTCTGGTACTGGACACATTCTTAACTGAAAGTACTTGTTGCACAATCGAAAACGCGCTTTCTAACTGCCTCGTTACGGATTCACCGACACAAACCCACACGAGCTATGGTTCTGAGACAAGATTGTCAAACACCTGAAGACTTCTCAGTTCCGCTGCTCGGCTATTCACAGAGAACCAATACCAATATTGTGGATGATAGTGCCACCAACCGCAAAAAGTGTCCAAGCTTTGTAGGTAGACAAGTCAAGAGGGTAGGATAAGAACTGTGTTTAAGTGTGCGAGTTTTTACCATAAACTAATCAAAGTACGCGACAAGACCTAGAAAACGACCCAAAAACTACACAGAACTAAAGTGCGGTGCATGGTTGAATGGGTAGTACTCACATCTGGGTAGGTTTTGCTTGGTGTAACAACGAGACTTCCAGAGTCCGTATGTGGTTTTTTCGGAGAACAGTGGTCAGGAGTGGGTGGCAAGCAAAATGGAAGCGCTTGTTCGACATTTTGCTCGTCCTCAGCGTCGTCAAATGAGTCTGAATCCGGATTGGAACTTCGCAACAACGATGGTACGGAGCTCTTCTTGGTAAGGTGTTCTGTACCAGATCGATGAACGGTGGAACTCGACAGCAAGTCTTGCGACAGTGCCGAATCCGCACTGTTGTCAGAAGTATGTGCCTCCGAATCACGATGGGCCAAACGAGCCGGAGGTCTAGGAATGCTCTCGGGCACGCTGACGTCAGAAATACTCGATACAGGTCTAGCAAACCCTTGGAAATTTCCCCACTGAATCCTGTCCAAAACAAATGACAATGGATACAAAAGGGCTTGGTTTACACTCAAGTTGTATCAAACTGGGACGCTGTAGTAGACACGGTCAACAACGAAGACGCGCGCTATATTTCAAGGTCAAATAGATGCGAGTTCTATCACCGTCGCATGACGTGTGTGAATGCGCGCGCTGCGACCACCAACCAGTAGACGGTGAAATTAGCCGAGGGAATTTCGCATCACAGTTTCTTCCGGATGACCAACGGGTATAGTTGTTCACATTGCAGGGTTAATAGAGCGCCGCTCAACTCACAGGGATAAATGATGACTGTCTTATACATACAGGTAGGTGGGCCAAGAAGCTGAGTCGAATCCTAATCTACGGTTAACGAGGTGAACTTTGGAGCTAGAACTCCTCTGCACACTCTGTGGAAGTTATATGTCGTGGAGAATTGGATGGGGCATTCTACAAAGGTGGGACGTAATTCCATAATATACCAGTAGAGTTATCTCAGTTTGGCAGGTTCTGATTGCCAAGATGTGTTGCCAGCTGGCACTTCGTAGAACAGGGGCTTTCATAGCTGAATACAAGACGTTCAGGTAATCATCGTATATATATTCATAAAAGAAACTACTCACAAGGTTGCTGAAAACACTTTGACAGCTCACGACCGGTTTAGCCCTTCTTGGGGTTCATCAGGTAAGCGAAGTCGTCGAGTTTCCGTCAACCTTACGTTCTTCTTGAACCCAAATTGGACTGTTTTCGAAAAGTACACTCATTTGCAAATCAATTTGTTTTTCACGAGAGACTCAACTGAATCTCTCGTTTATGATATTCTACAACTGAATGTGCTGCACACACATCGTAAGCGAGAGATTCAGTTGAGTCTCCCGTGCAAACCAAATTGATTGGCAAATGGGTATATTTGTCGACACCATATGCCAGTGCGAAAAACACGTCTACGTCCACGGTAGGGTAAAGAAGAAAAGAATTACGGTGGAAAAGACGGTATATTGGATACAGGAATGTAATTGACCGCCAACCACTAATGTAATCATGCCAGGTCATCAACCAAGGGGCCAGCGGTTACCAGGGTGACCAAGACCGCTGTTTACTTGATGTGCTTCGACGCCAAGGCATCCAGTCAATTTTCATCTATTGCTACTCAGGGATTAGTGAAAAGCACAACCTTGGATTTTTTCTGGTCACTTATCTGTCGAGCCAAGTCGGACCACTAGTATTGTGGTTATATAACAAACAGACAGGGGTAGAAAATCGCTACGACGTCGCACATTTAAGCCCAGCCTGAAATGAGGTGAGGATGTATAGTCCGATGGGATGCTTATCCGGCCTGTAGTGTCACACTACGACAGTTTTCTTCCAACGTGATAACACGTAAGCCAGTTTTCCATTCCTAATAATCGTTGGTCTCATTGGGCAAACTGTCCTCTATGGGTTTCGTAAGCGATCCCGCCTTGTTTGTTCTATCTCTAGTTTAACTCGTTGTCCCGGTTACCATAGTAACCGACCCTCAGTTTACCGGATCGGGAAAATTGGGGGTGAATTAATACGCGTCTCGTGTTTTGTACGTGGAAATACAAACAATATAAGTGATTACAAACAACAGAGCGTATCGCGCGCTGATATGTTTACCAACTCTGAATGAGTGACAGCAACCGCTTGGTTTATCAACAAAAGAATGGGGGAGCGCATCTAGGCTACAGTATCTTAATAAGCCAGAGTGGGGGCGAGATAGCTCAAGTGGTTAGAGCGCGAATTTACTGACTGGAAGGTTCGTGGTTCGAACCCGACCTCTGTCTCTCAACTTCCCCTGTCTAGGCTTGGGCAACCTGGCAGTATCCCAACCCTCGTACTTCCTCCGGGTAGCATGGCAGCTAGGCACCGGAAGGGTGTTACAGTTGAACGATAGAATAAGCCAGAGTCACTGATAGCGTGGTCCTAACCATAATGTCATTTCCACCGGGTTTCGATCACCTTTATTCATTCGGGTTTATCTGAGTACTTGAGTTCCGCCTATCAAAATTAGAAATGTAGACCCGTCCGACAGAGCGTGTGATCATCTCTGCATTGTCCCTGTGTTGCGTCATTGCATCTAAGTGCCTGAGAGTTTAATTTACAACCGATCGATAAAGGACGATAAAAGAGTCAACTCAGAGGCCAAACTGACAGGTACTTCCAACACTTCCCCTCGTTTTCGGGAACTAGGCAAGAGAAACGCCATCCTCATGATTGAGGTATCTCTCAGTGGGTAGACTTACAGAGTACTCATGGAGTACGTTTGTAAACCAAAACAAACAGACAGCAGTGCTCCGTTTTATCTATCAACTACTTGTGAGCAGGTTTTATATGGCATGGGATAGTTGGTTCCGAGTCGTCAATGTTAGGAGGACGGGACCAACTTTGTCGAAGTTGACAACGAGTAAGAGGATGAGGACAGCTGATTTAAACACATGGTCTGAAACTATGTACGTCTGTTGGCAGAAACCAAACAGCCAATGTACAAACGGTTGAAGGGTGTCTTTGACCCCATTTCGGTCACCGAATAAGCCGAACCAAACCGAGATTTACACAGAAAATGAAAATATAAAATAAATAAGTCGTCAAGTCACTGTCTGTTCTTGCGTCGACACGCAGTTGCATTGTGATTTTACCGACAGTTCTTAGCATACTACGAAGAAGTAGAAACTCTTAAGGGGGGGCAGAAAATATCGAACCATTTTGGCTGCCACCGCAGGCATTATAAACAGCAAGAGCTGACCTCTGACCCGACGGACTGCTGGCGGCCGATCGCAACGGCTGTGTAGAGTGTATCCAAGACGTGTCTGTCTCAGTACACGGTACATTGTGTTGGATGAACACGTAGACTTTCCAGAAGAGTGAAGCTCATTGAGAACTTACCAGAGGTGTAGATGAAACAAGTTGACCCCTGTCGATATTCAGAATTGGACTTTACAGACTGAACAAGAAGGGCACTGATTAGTACTGATTAGACAACTGTCTGGTTATTTTCCACGACTGACCGTATTTTGGTCCTCCAACTTGGGGATCGAGGTTCATACAATCCCAACCACGAGTCCACTATTTCATTCTGTTATGGTCTGTAGGCACAAGATCGAACCGCGGAAAATCTGGACTGACATGAGTGGCATTCACCACGTATAAAACGACTCCTTGTATTTCAGACCTCGAGTCAAACAGCGAAAAATAATCAAGGGCTTCTCAAGGAAATTCGAAGACAGCCTAGCTTCTACAGCTACGATAGAATAAACGCATTTTCACTCTTGCGTTCGACCGAACGAACCAAGTGGACAGTAGTCAAAAATGGCATGCGATGGCGTCTTAGATCCTAGCAGTTCACAAGTTTAGACTGAGGGCCAAATGATTGGTGTTCACGTGACTCAAAAATAACTTTGAATATTTCATGGAACAAAAGCGTTCCTAATGCCCACTCCTCGAGTAGCAACCAAGCACGCTAGATTTCTGTCGTACTATCGGCCTCCAATAGTGGTCTTCAAAAATTCGAACAATGGGGCTTGTTTTCCAAGGTGGCAACTTACGGATTTTAGTTCCAGTTGACAGTGATTTGTAAAAACATTTTCGTTTTGTTATATTTTATTTTCAGAGGGCTAGAAGCGTTGTCCAGGGGATATCTTTTCGCTGGTATGATTGTCGGTTGGGTGGCTCCCCTGGCTTGCGGCCAAACCAGAGATGTTAAAACGATGCTATATCGGCGCACCAACCTTATATCACAGCACGTTGGCTTGCGGCCAGACCAGGGATGTTAAAACGATGCCATATCGGCGCACCAACCTTATATCACAGCATAGACTGACTTCAAAGAGGAGTGGATTCAACATTATACAGGCACAAATTACCGGGATACCGACTTACCTCTGAAAATTGCTGTGCACTGGTCTTTCAGGGAGGTCGTATACCTGTTCGCCGTGACGAACGTTTCGCTGCTTCCGTCTGTACGATGTTGTGCGGTGCGGTGGTACTTCGGGTGGAGACAAATCGTGTACCGAGGTGGGGTATTGTGTTGGGACAAGTGGATAGGCCCGGTTTATTAATGCAGGACCGTAAGTCCACATCCATTGTGGATGTATGAACCCGTATCCAGGGTGTATTGCTGCGTCTAGTCCAAACACGTAAGGATGCGAATGTGTTGGTAACCAGTTGATGTGGTCTGATCCCGATGCTTCCATTGCATTGTTAACCAAGTACGTCGTCGGTTCCAATTTCTGAGTGCGTCCAGGCTGATCTCGGACGCGTGCTGAACCAGGGCGTCGCGAAGTAGGAGCCTGCTCTGCGTGGGACGTGAACTTCACTGTTGATGGCTCACGTTCCACTGGTTCGTCGATAACGTAGTGCTTTGTTCGTGGAAAGACGCTGCGATTGTGTCTCAATCGAGTGGGACTTGTCAAGCTGTGCCTGTACATGGCGTCTCGGTACAAACCCGTCGGGCGGCGCAAGGACGAACCCCGTCTAGGAGGAAATGCCACTGGAGCGGTCCGGGTTGAGAGGTAGGCCGTGCTTACCGACAAAGAGGGGATCAACAATCCTGCCATATCAACTCGGGCACCAGAAAGTACCTACAGACACACCCCTAGTCATTCTCACTCGTAAATGACGGATACAACAATGAGACATCAAACGAGGCAGATTAGGTGACACTTGGTGCTATTATGAAACGACCAAATGTTTGTGATGAGCTACCACAAGGACTTTGTTTAAATCGACTGGCACAAGTGTTAACGTTTTCAATGCGATCTTCGCAGACAGAAGCTTTGGTAACAGGGGTGGGGGTTGACATGGCAACTCACTTATTTACGCAACTCTCTTCTGGCTTATCACACGCCGATGAATCCCGGCAGGCCCTGTCACACACGGTTTTTATCCGGTGGCATTACCTGTATTCGGTGTGCATATGCCGGGGACTAAGGCCGGAAGGTTACGACCTCATTTAAGACTTTCAAAACCAGCTGTCTGTGAAAGTTGGTCAAAACACAGGACGGGCCTCTTCTACACTACTTATGTGTATAAAAAGTCTACAAATCCTGTCACTACTCACAAGTAAACGTTTTGATTGGTCATCAGCTCACAATGTGGAATGTCATCCGTCTTTGGACTTGCCTCTCACACAGAGGACTAATACGCCGATGAATCCCGGCAGGCCCTGTCACACACGGTTTTTATCCGGTGGCATTACCTGTATTCGGTGTGCATATGCCGGGGACTAAGGCCGGAAGGTTACGACCTCATTTAAGACTTTCAAAACCAGCTGTCTGTGAAAGTTGGTCAAAACACAGGACGTTTTTGCCACTGGCTTTTAGGGAACGCCCTGAGCGATATCAGGGGCAAAACAGGAAGACCCACCTCATAAACGCTTTGTCACTTTGCTCGTCAAAGCGATTTTGACAGCGCAACGTTGCATCACCTTACAGTTCGGGTGGCAAAACGGTTATCGCGATAACGCCTTACACGCGGAATGAACACTCATTGTGCCGGTGGAATACAGAGAGTTGGGAACGAAGTCACTCCCTCGGGCTTGCCACCGTTCTACTCTTGCATTTCAACACTTGCCGGCGTGTGGCCAACGGCCGTGAGAAAAAGCCTAGTTGTTATACAGTTTTTTCTCTACTTTGAGCCCTAAAAATTTAAAACGGTCCCTAGAAGGAAGTGAAAACGGACAAGCGTTTGATGGCTGTGTGCAGGTTTACGTGTGTGTGTGTGTGCGTATGCGTGTGTAAGTTGTGATGCGATAAAAAAAACTCAGCTTGACGGAGTAGAAGTAATGACTGTGCACTGAACGTGACTGTGTACATGAACCGAACAACGGAGTAAACAAATAAACGAACGAACAAACAAACAAAAAACAACAACCAGAACTCACATTTAGTTTCAGCGCTTTGATCAGGCACAAATTGACCATAAAAGTTTCCTGTGATGATCTTTTTTGGTGGACGGCAAAACATGCGTACCTACCTAATGACTACAGGTGTGCTCTAATTAACGCCGTATACAGCGCGCGTGGGGGGGGGGGGAGTTATATTGATGTCATGGCTAAAATCAGCAGTGTCGGTGAAACATCTCAGTTTAATTAAATACACTAAAAAAAACAGAAAAACAAATGTGCTTGGTGCAGGCCATGGAAGGATAGCGGAGTTGAGTGAAAGTTCCCGCGAAGAAGGATGACCGGATGTGCAAAGTGATGGCATTTTGGCCGAATAAAAGAACACTTCAAGACAAAAGTTAGCAGATTAACGATTTCATCTTTCATCGGCTCTTGGCTGACTAAAGAATATAAGTATGGAAAAGTAAATAAATAAATAAATAAATAAATAAATAAATAAATAAATAAATAAATAAATAAATAAAGTAATAGGGTAACTTGGGAACTAGGGTACCTGGGGGACCTTGACGCAACACAAGCCGTAAATGAGCCAATAAATGCACGAGAATACTGACCACCAAACAGCCAATCAAGTTAGACATATTAAGTATTCTTTAAATTTATCAAAAACGCAAGCAAGGACGGTGGGAATACTTATTCCTCTCTTAGAATGTGGAAGAAATACTGGGAAACCAGTTGACAAACTGAATAAACGGAGCAACCATCGGACAATTGGGTGTCTTAGGGGTACACTATGGTAGGACTGATTCCAAGTTTGATATGTGTGTGTGTGTGTGCATTTCTGTTGTCAATACTACCTGTTGTTCTTGCACCCTATCACAGTCAGCGACTTGTGTTTGCTTGTCATTGTGGGTTCTCTGCGTACTTATGACACTTTTATGCGTGGCGCATGGCGTTGAATGTACATTTTTGCCATTTAATTTCACACCAGACCCAGTACGACGGACACTTTTTGTCTGATGTACGAGTCTTGATTGTGCTAGCACTTACCGCGCCTTGAAGAGCAATCAACGTTGTCTGTCCTTTTTTCGGTTGCTAGTCTTTGGACGCGTGTTTCCATACCAAATCTTTTGCGTACGTTGGGTTTCATCTCATTCGACTGGAACTGTTGGTGGCATGGATTCAAATGAGAAGTTTCTCTTTGCAATGTACTACTCATAATGTTGCTGAAAATCCGTCGACAGCCCTAACTGGGGCTTATCAGATAGGCGCAGTCCTCGGGTTTCCGTCAACCTTATGTTCTACTTGAAACCAAATTGCACAA